CTTGCGCCGGGGCTGCGCCCCCGATGGGGAGCGCGGCGCCGGGGGACGGCCCGAGGGTGCTGCGGGCACTCACCGGGTGCCTGCTGGGCGCCCTGGTGCTGAGCACGCTGCTGGGCAATGCGCTCGTGTGCCTCGCCATCCTGCGCTTCCGCCACCTCCGCAACAAGGTCACCAACTGGTTCGTGCTGTCGCTGGCCGTCTCGGACCTCTGCGTGGCCCTCTTGGTGATGCCCTGGAAGGCCGTCACTGAGGTGGCTGGAGGCTCCTGGCTCTTTGGCAGCCACTTTTGTGACACCTGGGTGGCCTTCGACATCATGTGCTCCACAGCCTCCATCCTCCACCTCTGCATCATCAGCCTGGACCGGTACTGGGCCATCGCCAGCCCCTTTCGCTATGAGCGCAGGATGACACAGCGCCTTGCCTGTGCCATGATAGCCATGGCCTGGGCTCTCTCCATCCTTATCTCCTTCATCCCGGTGCAGCTACACTGGCATAAAGCCAAGGACAGTAGAGATGCAGGCTCCTGGCTACTTGGGACACCCCGCTGTGATGTCAGATTGAACCCCACTTATGCCATCACCTCCTCCCTTATCAGCTTCTACATCCCCGTGGCCGTAATGATCATCACCTACACCAGGATCTACAGAATTGCCCAGGCCCAGATCCGCCGCATCTCCACCCTTGAGAGAGCAGGGGGGCAGCGGCCGGCTCCTGGCAAGGAGTCCACCTCCTCTTTACGGAGCTCCTTGCACAAGGAGACCAGGGTGCTGCAGACCCTTTCTATCATAATGGGAGTCTTTGTTTGCTGCTGGCTGCCCTTCTTCCTGCTGAACTGTCTGCTGCCCTTCTGCCAGCCCAGCCTCGAGGAAGACCCTGAGGGACAGTCGCTTTGTATTGGCCAAACCACCTTCAACGTCTTTGTGTGGTTTGGCTGGGCCAACTCTTCAGTGAATCCAGTGATCTATGCTTTCAACGCAGACTTCAGGAGAGCTTTCAGCAATCTCTTGGGCTGCCGGTGCTGCTGCTGTGGGGCACCCAAATCCCCTGTGGAGAGGGTCAATTTCAGCAATGAGCTGGTTTCCTATCACCGTGACAGCACCTGCCAGAAGGAAGGAGCTGTGGCATCCTCAGTACCTCCTGCTGCCGTCACTGTCTGGGTGCAGCCCGTGCCCCACACCAAAAGCCTCCAGGGAGAGGACAGCAGTGAGATGTCGTCTATGGAGAAGAGGGTTGTGACTTCTCAGACACAGACTGCCCCTGGCAGCAGCCCCAGGAGTTGTCAAGTGCCAGCTATTTTGCAAGTGGATTGCAAGGCAAAGCCATCCCTGGAAACTGTTGCCCCCTGTACAGGACTTGGTCAGTGTGAGGGACCCCATTGCCTTGTTTCAGAGGAATGAGTGATTAAACACTTCTCACATACACAGCCACCACACAGGGAGATTCTCCTTCTCTCCATGTAAGTTCCCCAGCAGCAAAAGTCTCACACCAGAGGGAGGGAAAAACACTGCTCTTAGCACAGAGGAGTGATAGGCATACGGAGTCCATTCCAAAGGCACATAGCAGCCACACGCTAACCCCTTCCCATGGCCACCTTCACCCCATTCTGACAGTCATTAGACATCTCCCATGCATTTGTTCACCCCCATTCTGCAGTCAAATTTGAGGTATGTATTAAGAATAGTGAGATAATTAGATCAAAGCAAAAACAACTTATAGTTCAGGCAGCCAGTCCCTCCAGAAAGTAGAAATATAATATGATCCACAAAATAAAGAGTGACCAGGTCATCTCTGTCAACCCATTTCACTACTTGTAAATACGAAGAGCAATGAAAGGCAAAGCAAATAGGTGTTGGATGGCTTGCAGGAGAGAAAATACTGGGAAAAAATTTATGATAGTTTCTATGTGTGTAGAAGGGTTCAGCAGACATTAAGGCAATACAGTGGTACCTCACTGTCCTCTATTTCTCTGTCCACTACTTAAAGGTTCTGCTGCTGACCATTTAATATGTGCCACTAGCCACCATCCTTACCCCATCTTTTCTGTCTCTCATCTATGATGGATTTGCTCTGATTTATCTCAGGAGGAAGATGAAGATGCAACTGTCCAGAAGAGACAGCAAGAATGCTTACACTGCAAGAGTTTTTTGGGCATTGTCTCATAGATGGCACAGATGATATTTTTCAGAATAGTGATTCGTGCTGAAAGGACAGCAGCAGAAGAGACTCTCCTCCCAGTGATCCTCCTCCCTGTGATTTTAAACCATGTGTAGTTTTTAACTTCCTGTATGCATTTTCCCCATCATTAATTCTTATGGGAAAATATGCTCTGGCTATGCTGCTCTTTTCAGGATTGTGTCCTTGGGGAATACTTGGGTGTGACTGCAATCTGTTCTTCATGGGTTACACTGGCAGGACAAGAATTCATGGGCTGTAAGGAAGACCAAGGCAAGAATTTGGAAAAAACTTTCTAAGAATAAGGATAATTAAGCACTGGACTACGTTCCCTAGGTAAATTATGACATCTCTCTCAGTAAAATGACTGTAAGCCTCTGTCAGATATGACAGTGACAATATTGATCCTGCCTTGGGGCAGAGGCACAAAGCAATGGTCTCTTGAGATAATCTCTAGTCTTGCTTCACTATGACAATGTCTCCTTAAGAAGCATTGAGCTGAAGATGTTTGGCTGTGGGGTTTTTGCATGCAACTATCCTGAGATATTTTCTTGAAAGCAAAAAAGGTACAGATAAGAATTTGAGATGCCATTGCTATACTTCCTTTCTTTTAGTGATTATTCATGTTTCTGAGCTTTTAACAACTATGATTCAGCATGCCTAGCGCCTCCTCTGGAGAACAACCCTGAAATAATCCTGGTGTTGCCTTAAAAAAGATTCAAAGTAAGTTTTTTTTTGTTTTGATTCCCATTGTTTAGTTTCTAGGTGATCATATATGAACTGTACATGGATTCAGGTGTTAAAGATTCGATTTGTGAGAGTATTTTCCTCAATACATGTCTTTCTTCTTACTCAGAACAGAAACACAAAAGAATGTCAAAATCTAAATCCTTAAAAAAAACCAAACAAAACAAAACCCTCAAAAATTATATCTTCGAGTTCTAAGAGACATCTTATCTCACTTTCTCCACACTAAAACCCATCCTGGAGAGATACTGATAAACCTGACAAGATACTATCCTGAAGTGTGACTCCCCCGTTGCCTGCTGCCCTTCTGTTTCTGTTGCATGAGCTTCAGCTGGCTCCATCCCTCAAGGAGTGAACTGTCCCTGCCCACACACATCTTCCAGCTCATGAGCAGGCACTCTTCTGGCAGTCAAGGACACACATGAAATTATTATGCACAGAATATAATTTTTTTTTTTTTTTTTTTTTAGTATGTGTAGAGTCTCATTAGTGATAGAAGATGTTAATTAATGGAAGAGAAAGATTTAGCTTCTCATGAGGTTTGCCCTGCTATGGGGGCTGTCTTGCCCAGGAATTAGGCTGCACTTACTATTTAGAGTGATGATGAAAATGGTGAAGGGCAGAGTGGGTAGCAGAAATTAAGCAATGGATATATTTGAATAATGTTTTCTCTTGAGAACAAACAAAAATGCATGATAGCTTCAATCTATGAAACTATATTTGTGTTAAGAATGGAAAAAGCTATTTGTGTCAGTGCTTGTGGCCATAGTTTAAATATGCTTCATTAACAGGTCAGATTGCCCATGAAAATAAATGTACATTTTCCTGAAGAAAAACTCCTTGTCTTTACTGCAGCTTTTTAAAGTGACAACTTGAAATTGGTTTTTGTAAGTGATGTTGGAAATAATTGTTTGTAGCTAGTTGCTAATGGTTATTACTGATGTGCAGATGATACACATTACAGTAGTTTACAGTTGTAAGGTCTGCTGCAATAAGTGCAGTGCAATGATCAAGACTGCAATAAATCTCAGAAATTTCATATTATAAACTCTTTTTCTCATTTTCAGTAGCGTATTACTGGAGGTTCTTCATATGAAACTACACCACATAGCTATTCAGACTACATCTGCTGTTGCTGATTTAATAACATAAATATTGATACTCTATGTAGTTTTATTTTCTTAGAATGGGAAGCATTCTAGAGATCGCACACTTGTGTGAAGAGTAAATGAGCAAGACTTATTTTTCCTAATAATTTTTTCGCAATGATTAACTGTGACTTCTGACTGACATTTTTCTCATGACAGGGCAAGCTGCTGTGTTAGATTGCACAAGATTAATAGTGTTAAATTCAAGTGTGATAAGAGATATTAAAATTATTACAATAAGCCAATGTTTACTTCAGCAGAAATAAAGCAAAATTATTTCCTATTTACACAATTGCAGCCACTCAAAAGAAGTAACTTTCAAAGCAAAAACTTGGCAGGGCTTTGTTATGTATTTCTGGGTCACAACTTGGCTTGGCAGGGCAAAATAAATCACAAACAGTAAAGTTATTTTTTTAGGAAGATGTGTGGCTACTCCTCAAACGAAGTTTTTATAACTCAGGTCACCAAATCCACATTATCTCCTTATGGATTCACCACAGTATATGTGAGGTATTTCACTGACTAAAAGCAGTTCATTTCCATAATAATACCACATCAGAGTACCACATTTACAATACCATTAACATCACAGTGACCTAAAAATAGCTTTGAAATAGCCCTGGTGTCAAAACAGTGCAAGTCACAGATACTTTATCAAAACACTCTTATTAGCCAGTGCCTAAATGTCTGAATCAAAACACAGTTCAGTGCAGCAAAGAACGAGTGGTGGGGTTTACAACGTATAGCAAATGCCTCTTCTGTTCAAATAATTCCTGCTCTCTTTCTTTCTGTCAGTCTATAAAGTTCTCAACCAGATGCAAGTCTTATTTCTTTATTATATACTTGAGGTAAATACAAAATTCTTGTGGTCATAGAAAAGCTCAAGTAGCTGAGGTTATGAGCAAATGAAGGATCCAGTGGAAATATCAATGTAAGGAAAAGAAGATCACACCTCAATTGTATGTATCACACTTATATTTTTTTTCTTATCCCTCTGGTTAGTGCCAGATGCCTTAACATTTCAGTTAAACTTTCAGTGAGAAACAGCTGACCTAGGCTGCAGAAAGAGAAACCTGTTACACAACTCAGTTGTCAGAGTCATCTGTTGCTGCTCTGCTTTTGCCAAAATCATGAAAAATGATTTAGCCAAAATCTTGTGCTGGATTTCAGATGAGGCACCTACACACACACCATATTAAGCATGCTTCAATCACTTGAATATCAGTAAAAATTGTTTTGTGAAAAAGTCTTTATTCTTCATAAACTGTTTTTATGGAGGTTGAAGTGGCTTTCTGGGTATGAACTGTTATCAGTCCCATCTCCCTGGACTCTGGTGTACCTAAGTGGTTTCATCACCATGGCTACACACTCCCAACATATAACGTTATCTCACTGAAAAATAGTTTGACTCGCTTTCCTGAAACCTCTTGCCCTTCTCTCTGTAAAGAGACACAGTAGGATGCACCTCCTGGGCACCAGCTCTCCTCAGATTTCTAGTTCTCTTAAGAACCAATTTGTATTTACACCAAAGAAAGGCACAAAGATGTTAAACACCTGTTTGTTTGGGGTTTTTTGCATATTTGGCTTGAGAAAACTTACTGTAGTCCTGATCTGACCTTTTTATTCCTTCCCAGCCTCTACTTGTGCTAATCATTGAAGACATTTTAAAAAAATAGGGCTTATGAATGAATTTCACATTTTTCTGAAGTTAGGTAGCTGCATGATAGGAAAACTGCTAATCAGGGGAACTACTGACAGCAATGAATGATGCTAGGACCTGTAGCCAAGATTTTTCACATGTGCATAGTACAAAATGAATGAAGACGCTAGGGAAAATGTAGGTTTATCTTCATCAACAAGAGGAGAATTTCATCTTGAGACAGTTTTAGTTTACTTTAGGTAGTGAAAAGACATTTGTAAAATTTGCAGAAAGTGTTGCTAGGTTCCCTTTCTTTTGTTAAAGAAAATTTTCATGGAGTTTTCTGCAGTTCAACATTTTAATAGATTTTTAATTAATTAAATTCATCTTTGCTCTGACCCTCAGTGAGAGCACATCACTTCATTTTACTCTTTTCATATTTAAATCTGAACTGGCTGAATGGAGTCTATATACACTATTTCGTGGGCTCACATCTTGAGATGACTTTTGCATGAAACATGTGAGCAAGTTCTTTGAGCATTTATTACAGTCAGGAGAAATCTAGGCCAAAGAGTCAAACATGTCTAGAGCAATTTATTGAATCAAGTGATTCAACTTTCTTCAGGGTAAGAGGAAAAACTGGCTAGACTGGCTAGCTGATGGGGAAAAAAGCCAGTGATGCGGGAGAGTAAGGGAATAATGGGAATAACAAGATCCAGTGCTCTAACAAACTAATTGCAATTTTTTTGCTGTTGGTAACAGCCTAACCAGCTAGAGATTTTAAATAAAAGAATGCATAAAACAACACTGAGTATAGAATATTTACTAAAGCCCAAGTCCTTAACATAATCATCAGAGATAACATCACAACAAATGTCCTTGATGCATATTTGCTAATGGAAGGAGAGAAATACATAGAAGAGCTGAGTTTCAAGAGATGAAACTGGTAATTAGACATTCCCTCTTATGTTTTGGATTATAGCAGAATATCAGTACTTCCAAACCACGTTGTGACAATAAATTAACAGATAGTGGTGATTAATAACCCTTATTTCCACTCTTAAGAATGTTTATCCTGTAGTACCATGCATCCAAGCTATGAATTAGTTTCACAAGACTGATACTTAGTGCGCTACCAGCCTACAGTTTTTAAGCTCTTCAAGGGTTTAAAAGAGTTTAAAAACCACAAACACCTGTTACATCAGAGGTAACACAGAGCAGCTATTACTGGGAACAAGAGGGCTTTGGGGACCCAGCAGTTCACTGCAGGCTTCTTTCAAAAAGGAGTTAGATTTTCACTTTATTGCCGACAGGTTGTGCTACTGAAAAGGTACAAAGTAGTTTGCATGATGTTTGTAGTGGAAGTTGTTTCCTTGAAGTGTGCTACTATGATGATCCTTAGAGGCATCATCTCCTCACACATGGGGTGAGTCCAGGGACAGGGGAATAGAAATAAAACAGAATGCCTTTTGTGCTGATCTGATATCTGACAGTCCAAACTGATTTTATTTGCCACACAGGTCACTGCACACACTACTACCATCACTTCTGGTTCCAGATAATGCACAACTGTTGCTTATCTGAGTATGTAATACATTTTATTTTTTTTTTATAGAAGCAGCATTTTATTTTGCTTCTGAATAACCCCCTTTGTGAATTTAAGCCTAATTTTCAGTGACAGGCAAGCTAGACAGGCACAAAATTTGAATTGTAAATGCTTTGCTGAGCTTCAACTGTGGTTCAGTATGCATTACTTTATAAAGCTGAAATGTGTAATATTGGAGTGGCACAAACTGAGCTCAGACGATGCCTCAAGTTATATACCTCCAAATATATATTTTTTCTTTAAATATTGCTACAACATTCCTGTTCCCAATCATGAGAGTCATTCCTGGGAAAAACGCTGACCAAAGATGAAAGGAAAAAATAAAAATAATGACCTTGGATGTAGAATACTAGTACAGGGGAAAATTTTCACATAATTTAATGCCATCGATTATTGACACTAATTTTCTGCACTAATGTCACTTAATTGACACTAAGTTTCTGCATTACTTAGAAAAATCGTAATTTCCTTTCAAGAAATGCTCATTGCTGTCTCTGAGCCTCAGCTATAAGAATGTTCCCAATGAAACAGGATTTTTTTAGCATTATATGCTGACTTACACTATAGGATTTTAGAGGCAGAAGACCCATCACCCTTGGCAAGGGTATCACATGTGGTAAGAAAGGAGAAAAGCCCTGCATGGCATGTTGCTCCACAACAAACCCTTTATAACATCAGCCTAGTGAGACAGGTTACCACAGAAAACACAAAGAACTGCAGCACCCCCAAGGGGTTAACTGGGGAGAGCTGGGGATGTGTTGAGCAGGTGTCACAGGGATTATGATAGCCCTTGGGCTGAGCATCTAACATCATGCAATCTTGTACCACAAAACAGATTTTCCCCACCTTTCAGTCTGCCTGCATGCAATCCCACTGCTCTCTAGTGCCTGCTACCGTGCATCTTCCAGGCAGCTCCTTCCCTGCCAGACGCTGCTATTTGCTATGATCCTGTTACTGCCTGACCCAGTAATTCTAAAGGTCTCATCATTATGCTCTTCTAATCAGCCAGGGTGCAGAAAAACTATTTGCCACTTCTAACTGAGCCTTTTAGGCCCAGAGAGACCAGGATGCAGAAAGGAGAAAGCAGCTTTAGCTGCCTAACACAAGACACAAATCTGACTGTGTTGGATGTGGAAACTCAGTGGCCTTTGTAGTGACAAGGCAAACACAAAAGAGCAAGACAATCAACTGCCTTAAGTAATATTACAATTTTAGGTTTTTTCAGTTGTTTTTCTTTGATGCTTCTTTGTTATGGTGTATGTTTCTTTTATTTATTTGGTATTTATGCAGAATATAGTTCTACTTAAGAAACACAACATCAAGCTTACCTGAATTTTGTAATACAAGAGCCACCACTTGTATGCTGACAGAGTATACAAGGGCTTGTATAACCTGTGTATTTCTGCCCCATAAAAAATCACTAGAATTTATAAGACAGGGTCAACTTCATTTATAATAATATTAATCCTAATACACCAGCATTCTCCCCACTATTTTGGAATTTCAGATAAAACCACAATGTAAAAATAAACATAATCCATGAAAAATGGAGTTCCCTTAGAAAAACATCCAGGTAAATGACAGGTAAATGACATCTTTCACAATTATCCCTTTTG